ATATATTGCATCCAAATTGACACAAAAAGCAAGCAGGAATAGCTATTTGTATACCATACAAAACAAACTTTAAAGCAAAAATAGTTTAAAAAGACAAAGAGGGACATTATATAATGATAAAAGGCCTTGTTCAACAGGAAAATATCACAATCCTAAATATATATGCACCTAACACTGGAGCTCCAAAATTTATAAAACAATTACTAATAGACCTAAGAAATGAGATAGATAGCAACACATTAATAGCTTCAGTACTCCACTGACAGCACTAGACAGGTCATTGAGACAGAAAGTCAACAAAGAAACAATAGATTTAAACTATACCCTGGAACAAATATACTTAATGGATATTTACAGAACATTCTACTTAACAACTGCAGAATATACATTCTATTCATAAGCACATGAAGCATTCTCCAAGATAGACCATAAGATAGGCCACAAAACAAGTCTCAATAACTTTAATAAAATCAAAATTATATCATGTACTATTTCAGGCCAGAATGGAATAAAATTGGAAATCAACTCCAGAAGGAACCCTCAGAACCATGAAAAACATGGAAATTAAATAACCTGCTCCTGAATGATCATTGAGTCAACAATGAAATAAAGATGGAAATTAAAAAATTCTTTTGAACTGAATGATAATAGTGACACAACCTATTAAAATTGGGATACAGCAAAAGTTGTGCTAAGAGGAAAGTTCATAGCATTAAATGCCTGCATCAAGAAGTCTGAAAGAGCACAAAAGTAAAACAAACCACCCAAACTCATCAGATGAAAAGAATAACAAAGATCAGAACAGAACTAAATGAAGTGAAAAAAAAATGTACAAAAGGTAAATGAAACAAAAACCTGGTGCTTTGAAAAGATAAATAAAATTGACAGACCATCAGTGAAATTAACCAAGAAAAGAAGAGAGAAGATCCAAATAAGCTCAATTAGATAGAAAATAACAGATATTACAACCAATTCCACAGAAATACAAAAGATCATTCAAGGCTACTATGAACACCTGTGTGCACACAAACTAGAAAACCTAGAGGAGACAGATAAATCCTGGAAATATACAGCCCTCCTAGATTAAACCAAGAAGATACAGAAACTCTGAACAGACCAATAACAAGCAGTAAGACTGAAATGGTAAATAAAGGGCTGGGCACAGTGGCTCACACCTGTAATCCCAGCACTTTGGGAGGCTGAGGTGGGCAGATCACTTGAGGTCAGGAGTTCAAGACCAGCCTGGCCAACATGATGAAAGTCTGACTCTACTAAAAATACAAAAAAAAATTAGCCAGGCTTGGTGATGCATGCCTGTAGTTCCAGCTACTTGGGATGCTGAGGCAGGAGAATCACCTGAACCCAGGAGGCAGAGGTTGCAGTGAGCTGAGATCACGCCATTTGCACTCCAGACTGGGCAACAGAGCGAGACTCCATCTAAAAAAAAAGAAAGAAAGAAAAAGAAATGGTAATTTAAAAACTGCCAACAAAAAATCCAGGACCAGATGGATTCACAGCTGAATTCTATCAGGTATTCAAAGAACTGGTTGGGTGTGGTGACCCACACCTGTAACCCCAGCACCTTGGGAGGCCAGGGAGGGCAGATCACTTGAGGTCAAGACCAGCCTGGACAACATGGCAAAACCCCATTTCTACTAAAAATACAAAAATCAGCTGGGCATGGTGGTACATGCCTGTAATTCCAGCTACTCAGGAGGCTGAGGGACAAGAATCCCTTGAACCTGGGAGGTGGAGGTTTCAGTGAGCTGAGATCATGTCACTGTACTCCAGCCTGGGCAAGAGAATGAGACTCTGCTTCAAAAAGGAAAAAATAAAAAGTCATTCAAAGAAGAATTGGTCCCAATCCTACTAACACTATTCCAAAAGACAGAGAAAGAGGGAGTCCTCCCTAAATCATTCTATGAAGCCAGTATCATGCAAATACCAAAACCAAGAAAGGACATAACAAAAAAAGAAAACTACAGACCAATATCCCTGATGAACATATATGTAAAAATCCTCAACAAAATACTAGTGAACCAAATCCAACAGCATATAAAAATGATAATCCACCATGGTCAAGTGGGTTTCATATCAGGGATGCAGGTATGGTTTAACATACACAAGTCAATAAATATGATATATCACATACATAGAATTAAAAACAAAAATCACATAATCATCTCAATAGATGCAGAAGCATTTGACAAAATCCAGCAACCCTTTATGATTAAAACCCTCAGCAAAACTGGCATAGAAGAGACATACCTTAAGATAATAAAAGCATCTATGACAAACTCACAGCCAACATTATATTGAATGGAGAAAAGTTGAAAGCATTCCTCCTGAGAACTGGGACAAGACAAGGAAGCCCAATTTCACCACTTCTATTCAATATGGTACTGGAAGTCCTAGCCAGAGCAATCAGACAAGAGACATAAATAAAGGGCATCCAAATTGGTAAAGTGGAAGTCAAATTGTTGTTACTTGCTGATGATATGATTATATCCCTAGAAAACCCTGAAGGCTCATCCAAAAAGCTCCTAGAACTGATAAATGAGTTTGGTAAAGTTTCCGGATATGAAATTAATGTACACAAATCAGTAGCACTGCTATATATCAATAACAACAAAGCTGAGAATCAAATCAAGAATTCAACCCCTTTTACAACAGCTGCAAAAAAAAATTACTTAGGAATATGCCTAACCCAGGAGATAAAAGACATCTGCAAGGAAAACTACAAAACACTGCTGAACGAAATCATAGATAACAAAAACAACTGGAAACACATCTCATGCTCCTGGAGGGGTGGAATCAATATTACAAAAATGATCATACTGCCAAAGGCAATCTACAAATTCAATGCAATTCCTATGAAAACACCATCGTCATTCTTCACAGAAGTAGAAAAACAAAATCCTAAAATTTACAAGGAAACAGAAAAGAACTAGCACAGCCAAACCAAGACTAAGCAAAAAGAACAAATCTGGAGGCATCACATTACCTAACTTCAAACTATACTATAAGGCCATAGTCACCAAAACAGCATGGTACTGGCATAAAAATAGGCACATAGACAAATGAAACAGAATAGAGAACCCAGAAACAAAGCCAAACAGTCAATTTATCTCTGACAAAGCAAACAAAAGCATAAAGTAGGGGAAGGACACCTTCTTCAAAAGCTGGTGCTGGGATAATTGGCAAGCCACATGTAGAAGAATGAAACTGGATCCTCATCTCTCACTTCATACAAATATCACTCAACATGGACCAAAGATTTAAATCTAAGACCTAATACCATAAAAATTATAGAAGATAATATCACAAAAACTCTTCTAGACATTGCCTTATTAGGCAAAGACTTCATGACCAAGAACCCAACAGCAAATGCAACAAAACAACGATAAACAGATGGGACTTAATAAAATTAAAAAGCTTCTGCACAACGAAAGAAAGAATCAGCAGACAACCCACAGAGTGGAAGAAAATCTTCGCAAACTATACATCTGACAAAGGACTAATATCCAGAATCTACAAGGAACTCAAACAAACTAGCAAGAAAAAACAATCCCATCAAAAAGTGGGCTAAGGACATGAATAGACAATTCTCAAAAAAATATATACAAATGGACAACAAACATATGAAAAAATGCTCAATATCACTGATTATCAGGAAAATGCAAATCAAAACCACAATGCAAATACCATTTTGCTCCTGCAAGAATGGCCATAATCAAAAAATCAAAAAATGATAGATGTTGGTGTGGATGTGGTGAAAAGGAAACGCTTTTACACTGCTGGTGGGAATTTAAACTAGTGTGGAGATTCCCTAAAGAACTGAAAGTAGATCTACCATTTGATCCAGCAATCCTACTACTGGCTACCTACCCAGAGGAAAAAAAAAGTCAATATAAAAAAAAAAAAAAAAAAAAATTGCACACAAATGTTTACAGCAGCACAATTCACAATTGCAAAATATGAAATCAGCCCAAATGCCCGTCAATCAGTGAGTAGATAAAGAAAATGTGAACATATATATATATATAGAATATATATATATATGTATTATACACACACACCATGGAATACTAATGATCCATAAAAAGAAATGAAATAATGGCATTCACAGCAACCTGGATGGAATTAGAGACTATTATTCTAAATGAAGTAACTCAGGAATGGAAAACCAAGCATCGTATGATCTCACTCATGGGAAAGGAGCTAAGCTAGGAGGATGTAAATGTATAAGAACAATACAATGAACTTTGGGAGCTGTGGGAGAAAGAGTGAGAGAGGGGTGAGGCAGGGTACAGTGTACACTGCTAGGGTGATAGGTGCACCAAAACCACAGAAATCACCACTAAAGAACTTATCCGTGTAACCAAATACCACCTGTACCCCCAAAACCTATTGAAATTAAAAAATAATAAAATGCTTTAAAGAATAGTATAAAAATAGCCTAATATTACTCTTGAAAACAGAGGTAAAAATCTAATATAAATAATAGCAAACTGGATCCAGCAAAATAAAATATCATGACCAATTTGAGTTTATCTCAGAAACACAAGGTTAATCTAACATTATAAAATCAACTAAATATTAAAAATAAAAATTATAAAATCATATTAATAGATGATAGCAAATAGATATAGTAAAATATTCATGATAGATATTCTGAGCAAAATCACAGTAAAAAAAAAACATTATTATTTAACATGATAAAGGATAACTACCAAAAAAAGTTAAACATCATATATAAAGGTGACACACTGAAAATTTTCCCTATGGGATCAGGAAAAAGAAAAATGATCAGCCTGAATCAGACATTCCCAGGATTTCTTAGTTATTTTCAAATTTATTCTACTGTACAATATAGATTCTGTATTGCAACCTGTTCTCATCTATATATGATAAGAGAATGTCCTGTATTCTTCAAGTTAATGGCCTACTTAAACTTTATATCTAAATAGAAGATAGAGTTCTATAATTATATTACATACCATAGGTTCTGTCTCCTTGGGAGGTCTGTCCAGGGGAGGAATGTACCACTGAAAGCAAAGTTCTTTGTTTGAAGCTTGTGTTACCATTTCTATTGGCATTATGTCCATACAAGATGAGCTTGAAACAGGCTTAAAGGATAAAATGGATTGTAGAGAACTATCACGATACAACTAGGGAACAAACAAAAACATCAGTTTAATTACTGGTAATAAATTTGTTACATATACAAAACAAATTATTTTGCTATATTGAAAAAAACTTTGGAATTGTATCAGCTTGTTTTGTAGAGGTAAATCTTAACACTACCCCTGGCTTACTACAGAGCAGGTTCTCCTATAATAAAAATATGCTGGCCGGCACTGTGGCTCACATCTGTAATCTCAGCACTTTGGGAGGCTGAGGTGGATGTATCACATGGTCAGGAGTTCAAGACCATTTTGGTCAACATGGCAAAACCCCATCTCTACTAAAAAAATACAAAAATTAAGCAGGCATGGTGGTGTGCACCTGTAATCCCAGCTACTCAAGAGGCTGAGGAGAATTGCTTGAACCCGGGTGGTAGAAGTTGCAGTGAGCCAAGATCATGCCACTGCACTCCAGCCTGGGCAACATAGCAAGACTCCATCTCAAAAAATATATATGTCTGCTTCAGACCAGGGGACTCAACAAATCTTTTCCACTCTGGTGAGTCTTACAGGGTGAAGATCTAGCAGGGAAAATGTCCATGCCACCATTTCAGTCTCAAAATCACCACTATTTCTAGGAACTCCTATCTGGTTTCTGGTTTATTCACTGGTAAATAAGTTGTGGTTACAACTTATTACTGTATCTATTTTTCCAATAGTATTTTTTTACAATGCCATTTGGAAAATGAGACACATTTTGCTCCAAAGGCTAAAATCCATTGCTCTAAAACCCACTGGCTCTGAAAAGTTAAAATCCTCCTCTCCTTAAATGAATGTGGCTGATTTGCAAGTTTGGTCCTTGGTGAATATGCGCCCAGCTTCTTCTATGCAATTTGGTCACTGAATGAGGAACCTTCAAAGAGGTAGAAATGTACAGAATGTAATTGGCAATTTGGTAAATTTCTTAATTAGTGGTTTAAGGTAGTTGAAAAAGCAAAGCATGGTTGCTACTGATCAACAAAACAGCAGGCTAGCCATAGAGATAATAATAGTAAAAACAGTATTTCAAGTCTAAAAAGGACCTTCTTCAATGAAGGGCAAACTACTTTCAAAATTAACTTCTTGTTATTTCCAAGATTATGGTATGGCAGCTGGAAAGTGGTCCCTCTACTTCAGTCTTTTTGATATCTAAGGCCTGTAAAGGTTTGATGACCAAGGTGTATTTGTCAGTGGTCAGAAAGAAATGCCTGGTGTTTCTATAAGGCTTTGTCCCTCCCATTATTTCTAAGCCTATTCAAGATGTAACATGACTGTGAATGTTAAGTCTTCAAAATACAATAAAAAGGGAAATAAAAACACTGACCTTTCAAGTTGTCTACTGATAAAAGATGTTTTGACTGAAAGGTAATATTAAATATGAAAAGTTTTCTAAATGTCTAAAAACAATCATCCTTGCTTCTAAAAGCATGACCAAAATACACAATAAGCAAGATTAGCAGGGATCAACAATAATTTGTAAGTGCTTAATTAAGAGTAATTTTATGTCAGTTTATCACACACAAAAAAATCAAGTAAATAATTGATTCTAAAGTAATTTCTTAAATTTCTTCATATCTGAGTGGTTTTTCAGAGGTTCTAACAATGATTTTAGCAAATAATTCATATTCAATAACTAGATAAGTATTGAAAAGTAAAAATACCTTTTATTTCAATATGTGCATTATTAGCACAGTAGTCTAATAATGATAAATTATAAACATGTCAATATCAAAATAGGTATTTAATTTTCCATTACCTTTCAAATACTATAATATGTAGTTGCTAAGAGGATTCATTACGTACACTAATTGATGAATTATACACTGAGTAGTTTTATTCTATTTTCTTAATTCTTTGAAAGAAATAAAACAACAGGCCTACCAGGAGAACCATGGCTTGCCACAGTCCTATGAACAATAAAGCAGCTCACACTAGTCAGACACTTCACCTTACACTGATGGTCACAGGCCACAGTCCTAGTATGAATAACTCAGCATTATGCACAATTTTAATCATATTCTTTTGGAGGAATTTTTAATGCCACTGGTTTCCACCTTTGTTTTTCCATAACCAAGCTCCAATAGACTTGACAACATGCAGAATCACACAACTGAGGAGCACAACATGGAGCAACGATTGTTCTGGAAAGGCATCTACTTCTTTGTGGGGGAAAGTAGGTTTAAGTTTCGAATTATGGAACGAGTTTGATTGAAATAGCCTCCTGAGTGATTAAAGGTTCAAACATGTTATTATAAAAATCAGCCAAGCTTGGAGTTCGTATATATTAAAACCATCTAAAAGACTTTATGCTCGTTAGCTGTCTACCCCAGTGAAACGAACACATGATGAGGTGGCTTGCACCTGTCAGGCAAGAGATGGTGATCTTCAGAGCTGATTATCCTGGGGAGTGTTACACTAATTATATCAAAAAGAGCAAACAGGATGAAACAACTCTTTGATAACACTGCTGCCATTAGAAAAGTCACATGCATTTACAATGTACTCAAGCTTGAATGTTTAGAGCATAATCTTTAGGAAATGGGTAATGATAGACTGCCCTTAAAACTGCCCTTAAAAATGTTCAAGCAGAGCTCCTTTTAGAACAGTATTTAAGAAATCACACATATTAGTTTTCTAACTTTTGTATAACATTCACAAGAACAGATCAATTGAAACTATTGTTCCCAGTCTTGCTGTCCTCTGCTCCCTACCCCAAAACACATGAGGTATCTGTGACACCTGACAGTAATCCTCAAAGATACTCAGTTCCCGGGAGGGGTGAATCCGAATCTGGTGTTAGATGGCAATGATTTCATTCTACTCCCACTGTGCCCTTCTATGTGCAGAGCCAGACATTAACATGCCTTTCCTGGACTGTTCACCTCCTCACTCACTCCTTCCCATGGGGAATTGTTACTTGATTGGTGAATTTGGGAAAAAGAATTTGGGGCCTGCATATTTCTGCTCTTTCTTCCTTGGTATAAAATGTTTGCAGGAAGTGAACAGTCTCTGCTCCTCATGCAACAGATTTTAAGGAGCCTGTCCCCACGTGAGGAGCCTGAAATGAACCAGTAATATGAAGCCAGATTGGTAAATCAGTCTACTTTGGTATTCATTGCTAGGAAGATCATTTCACCAATAAATATAAACCACATCCTATAATATCAACTTCATGACTCATAAAGATGAGAATTTTTTTAATCCCAATCTGTTTTACTCTTTCCTCTTATTCCTGAATGACTCAAAGTCTAGGCACAGAATGGGGCTGCTGAGCATTGGGAATGCCACGATATCTTAGTATCTGGGAAGAGAGGAGAAGTGGTCTGAAAAATCTTCCAGTGTGCTTTCAATACACTGCATGGAGGGCCACTGCATAATCCCAACTGAGAATTATTTCTTTAATTGGACTCTTAAAACTATCCTAATAGGTCTTTCTACTACTTTAAAAACTTGCAGTTTATTAACAGTCATCTGACTGTCTTGAGAAGAGAAGGAATGTTCAAAAGAGTGATTTAAAAAAAAGTACAATTATCTACCCAAAACATAAGGTTGCTAATTTCTAGTGGGATAAGATGAGTGAGGGTCACCATTCTGAAACAAGCCACATTTTCAGTTCTCTGGGAACTTCTCTGGGAGAGGTGGCAACAGCAATATGAACATATATGGGAAAATCTACAGCTATAAAAATTGAAGAGTTCAATGGTAGTCTAAAGTAGAGATAGTTCAAAATAAATTCATGATTTTTTTTCTAGTTTTGAAAGGATTCTGTACAACTTATTCATTTCACGAATATGTGTTGGAAGCTTACAATATGCTATGTCCACTTGAGTGTTCTACAAGGTCTCAAATTCTGTATCTACAAAGAAGAAAAATGTGCTCATCCTCCTGCCTCCCCTGTCTGTGCTAATGATGTCACCATGCATTAGTGATCACACACAGATGTTCCAAATTGTACAAGAGCTCTAGTCATTTCCTCTTCTCTTTCCATCTCCAAAGAGTCATAAAACTGTTTTTGTTGTTGTTGTTTTCAACTTTACTTAAGCAAGTATCTTTTATAGCCATCTCTTCCTTTCCATTCTTGTGGTGATAAGCTTCATGGCTTCATCATCTCTCTCTTAAATAATTCACTTTTCATCTATACTTTGCCAATCAACCCTACTGAGAGGACTGAAAGTAAAACTAAGACATATTAATGTTCACATTATTTCTGCTAGTATTAATCCTGCCATTTTCTCTTAAAAAGCATCTCTAAAATAAAGTAGCTTTCTTTTTGAGACAAAGTCTCATTCTGTGGCCCAGACTGGAGTGCAGATCTCGGATCATTGCAACCTCCACCTCCTGAGTTCAAGTGATTCTCCTGCCTCAGCCTCCTGAGTAGCTAGGATTACAGGGGCCCGCCACAACACATGGCTAATTTTTGTATTTTTAGTAGAGACAGGGTTTTACCATGTTGGCCAGGCTGATCTCAAACTCCTGACCTCAGGTGATCCACACACCTCAGCCTCCCAAAGTGCTGGGATTACAGGCATAAGCCACCGAGCCCAGCCTAAAGTAACTTTCTTCTGTTTTAACTCTATCACTGTTTCTCTACTACCGCCCCAAGACTATATGTACAGGGACTATGCTTTATCCATCATTTCTTTCCACTAAGAGTGTCTCTGGCACACATTAGGTATTCAACATAGGTTAGTTGAATACCAAATTTCAAATACATATTATTTTAAAATAAAATCCTTTATTTTTTCAGTGTCTTTCAACACATTCATTTTGGAAGTTCATCCAAACTACTATTATTCAAGACTTTAGTAGCTTCAATTTTTAAAAAATCTCCATTTATATTCCTCTTTTTATGTCTCTACAATTAGTACCTTTAAAAATTTCCATATTACATATCTTGGGAAAATGTATACAATTTAGTAACACTTTTCCAAATAAAAAGTCTTCACATGTTTAGTTTTTTAAAAAATGTTACCTCTATTATTTATTCACACCCATAGTGAATAATTTTTATTACACATTTAAAACCAAAGTACAGAAATTGAGCACAGATTTAGAAACTCTCAGTGCAGTTTTCTCATAGGGTGATGATACTGATATTTGTGTAACTTCTTGGCAAAAATGGCTGCTTGAGAAAGATGCTGTTTTGTACAGGAATATAGACACTTCTGAGACATTTTAAAAGACTGGTGAGAACAAGACTGAACCATTGTAATGTGAACTGTCCTAAAATGTTTGGTGTCCTATCCACATGGTAACATGGGAATGACCCTTCCCCAGAACCTGAGGGAACTAGAAATCTTTGTGCCAACATGAAAGTTAATGTGCTTCCTTCTGAAATATGAGGCTGATTCTAAGAAGTTTTATGTAAATACATGATGTTTAAAAATGTTACCTTGGCTGATGATTCATGTAAGCCTTTTTCTGAAAGAGGGGGATTTTCCAGACAAAGAAGTTCTTTTGGAAATTCATCAATTGAAGAAGAAGAATACAGCTGTAAGAATTTTTTAAGGAAAAAATGCACTTCTTTCTGGCGCAAAATCAACTCAGAGTTGTAAAGGGATGTGAGAAGTGTATCATCTGGCAAAGAAATTCCAGAAACTGGTGTTGCGGATGCTTAAGAAAGAAAAATATCTTAGTTTAGGTTCATGTTAGAAAACAGGATGATCTCAATATTGTTAGCATTTGCTCACTAACCATTATCTTTACATATTCCCACCCCCGCTAGAGGCTGCCAACTACCCTTCTCTGTTTTAGAACTTATACACTAATGGAATTGTTTCTTGCCATGGAAGAGAACATTTCAGGCCAGGCGCAGCGGCTCATGCATGAATCCCAGCACTTTGGGAGGCTAAGGTGATTGGATCACCTGAGGTCAGGAGTTTGAGACCAGACTAGCCAAAATAGCAAAACCCTGTCTCTACTAAAAATATAAAAAATAGCTGGGTGTAGTGGTGCGTGCCTGTAATCCTAGCTACTCAGGAGCCTGAGGCAGGAGAATCACCTGAACTTGGGAGGCAGCTGTTGCAGTGAGCCAAGATCACACCACTATACTCCAGCCTGAGTGACAAAGCAAGACTCTGTCTCAAAATAAAAAAAAAAGAAAAAGAAAATTTGAGAGGCACATGAGGATAATGCTTAGTTTTAGGTATTAACAATGATGCCATACCTATTTTCTTTTGGGCTCCCCCGAAATAGATCCTAAAGAATTTGTAGATAGTTTATTTGAAAAGTAATTTCAAGAAGCACAAGTGAGAGAATGGGCAAAGCATGACAGAGAAAAGAAAAAAGCCAGTAAGGGTAAGTAAATGAGTGGGCTACCGTGTTGGGCAGTGAGGGCTCAGTCCCACTGGGGACTTTCTGACAAAGTTGGCATGTTTATTTAGGAGCTCCCTTCCTCAATAGCTAAAAATTACTCCTGGGTCTGTGGAAACCCTGCCTGCAGGCTGGTCAGACCTCAGTAGCTTCAAAGAAAGCCCAGGGCAGAAAAGCAGTAAGACATGGCACTTATGGTGGGAAGTGCCGGCAGGTGAATTCAGAGGCGAGCAGAGTGGCTGGGAGGCAAGGGATCACCAGGGCTGGCTGCACTGACTTGTCCATGTCCTTTCCCTCTGAACCTCCCTTGCTCTAGCCCCCATCACCATGAACCTTTTTGCCCTGATACCTTTCTGATGGCTTGTTAGCTCCTGGTAACTGTGCTCAGCAACCCTGTGACTCAGCCTATTTGTGCTGCTGGTTTCCCCATCACTGTGCCCTGGGTCAAACTGTCTTTTCTGACTGTTTGCACTGTTGGGCAACACTGGATCACCAACATCATGAGCACAGATAAAACATAACAATGTCACACAATCACAAGAAGGACTGATGTGAAGCAGAACCTATTAGTTTTCCTGGATGTTCTTTAGATAGCACCAATGATTTTTAAAAAAACCTCCATGGAATTAATATCCCATCTAAAGTCATGCGTCTCTTCCCTTTGATATACCAGCTACTGGACCACTCTTTCTCTAAAGCCAAAATGTCATCTTGCTCATTTTATAAACAGTCACTTTTGAATCACTAGTTCTTAACTGCTTTGAGCCATGGACTACTTTGGCAGTCATCTTGGAAAGCCTCTGGATGCCTCCTTATCATAATATTTTTAAATATATGAAATAATATATATAGAATTTCTACAGAAACCAATTACACTGAAATACTCTTCCATCCAAGGATGCATGTATCCCAGGTTACGAACCCATTAAATTTTCATCTTCTGATGACAGTCACTCAGAAAGATGTCAGAAGTATCTTATAATTCTCAACAAGAAACATGACTTAAACAGGAATTAGAAAGAAATATGTTCTCTTGTAACACATCAAAAACCTACCTAACAGTTTGCTGAGATTATTAATCCTCTGAAGGTGAATATAGTAGCGCAGTAGAAGGATCCATGTAATATCCACTTTGGTCTGAGTCTTTTTTCTACCATCTGTGCTGTCATACGCATCATCATTTTGGTACAAAAATGTACAGGAAGTCTGGAAGACGACTTGGTAGTTATCTGAAAGCGAAAAATTTTTTTTCTAATACAACGTTATGTTTTTCTTGAAAAACAATCATGAACAGAAAAAAAGCACAGCTCATAAAGGAAAGGCTGACACATGATACTATGTTCAATTGAAAAGTCTTTTGTATCACACAGACACCAAACACCAAGTTAAGAGACCAACCACAGACTGAGAAAAGATATTTAAAATATACTTATGAATTATCTTTCTCTAATATGTGTAAACACCTTGCACCAATCAACAAACAAATGTCAAGCAACACAATTTCAACAGGCAATTCATAGGAAAAGTGGGCAAGGAATATCAATACACAATTCACAGAAAAGTAAACCAAAATGACCAAAACTTTTAGCATCACTAAAAATTATAGAAATGCAAATTAAAATGAAATACAATTTCACATCCCTTAGGAACTGATAGACACCAAAATCTGAAAATAATAAATATTGGTAATAATGTGAAGAAATTGGAATGTTCACACGTTACTTGAGAGGACAACTATTTGGAAAGGAATTTGGCAAGATCTAAGAAAACTGAAAACACAGATACCCCTATATGTGTACCAAGAGTTTTGCACAGTGTTTTTTGCAACATTAAAAAAAGGAAATGTTAAAATATAAACAGGAGTCTAATCATTTGAAGCCATTTAAAGTGAATGAATTAGATCTATAAGGGAGAAAATGTAGTGTGGAATCTCACTATATTTATAGTCTTATGATATTCAAATCCCAGATGTACACTCACTAGTGTGTGACCTTGAATCTCTCTGTGCCTTGGGCCTCTCTGGGCTTTTGATTTTCTGACTTTTACTTTTCTTTAAAATGGGCAATATAAGGTTGATGATAGATAGATCCTGAAAACATACAGAGTTAACAACAGGTTCCAGGTGATAGGTAGTATGATACCATTTATGTAAGTTTGAAAACAATATTATTTGTATCATTTATGTATATATATATACAGACACATATATAATATTTAATTAGAATAGTAGTTGTCTCTGGGAAGCAAAAAAAGGAAGATAAATAGAATCTTCTATGGTTCATGGTCCATGCAGGTTTTCTAGAATAACATGAATCCCCATGTACTCACCACCCGCCTTGGAATACAAATTCCCAGTACTTTGGGAGCATCTTATAAGCCTCTCTCTAATCCCATTTCACTCTCGCTGCTTGAGCTCATGTCCCAGAAATAATCACTATTCAAAATTTTGTGTTGCTAATCCCATTATCTGTCCTTGACTCTTTAAACATATACATTACATAACATGTAATAAATAAAACATTGTTAACTTTATCTTTTTAGAACTTTGTAGGAAGAGAATCATATTGCATGCATTTATCTATGGTTTTCTTTTTCCTTTAAACACTATTCTTTGAAAATTCAGCCAGGCTAATGCAGGTAGCTGTTATTCACTGATATTTTTTGTTGTTATATAGTATTTCAGTATACTGAAATTTTGTATATCTATTTATAAACCTATAATGTATATATCTATTCTACCATTGATGGACATGTGATTTCTTTCTAATTTTGTTTTGTTTTATTTTGCTTTTTACTGTTATGAACAAGTCTGCTATAAATATTTGAGTACATATTGTCTGGTGTATATGTGCACTAACCTTCTGGATGTGGAATTACTAGGTTGTTCTTTTTTAGGTGTCTTTTAACCAATCTTACCTTTTGTTCTTTCATATAAATTTTGGCATCAGATTGTCAAATTCCACAAAATAAAACCTATTACTGAAACTACATTAAATCTATCAATCATTTTTAGAATACTTGGCATTTATCAATACCAAGCCTTCTTAACTATAAACACGGTATGTTTTCTTATCTCTTTCAATGAAATTTTATAATTTGTTTCACAACTTTGGTTAGATTAATCCCTAGAGGTCTTATATATTTTTGTAGCTACTGCAATAACATCTTTTTGAAATACATTTCCTGTTAAAAATGTATAGAAATAAAATCTTACATTCAACAACCTTGCTAAATATTTTTATTGCCTATACTTCTCAGGAAGTGTCTATGTGAATAATCTGTAGTGAATGATGGCTTTTTTCTTCTTTCCTATTCTTTGTACTTCTTATTTCTTCTTATATTATTGTGCAGGGTAGGACTTCCAGAACAATCATGAATCAAAGTAACAATAGCATTTTCTTACTCTTGATTTTAAAGAGAATAGTTTTGCATCTGAATATTGATTATAAATACAGTAGGCATGTTTTCCCACTTGTAGCTTTTTCAAATTAATGTTTTTTTTAATTCCCAGTTTTAGAATCATAAATGGTTGCTGAATTTTATTGAATTTTTCTGTACCTATTTGAGATGATTATTATTTTTCTCTTTTAATCTGTTAAAGTAGTGACGCTATTGAACAGATTTTCTGATGTTGAATTACATTTGCATTTCTGGAAATAATCCAATTTGACATGAGGTATCTTTTAATATGCTGCTGATTTTCATCAAACATTTACATAATCAAAAATAAAATTCCCTCTCCCAGAGACAAGCATTTTTAAACATTTGTACTTTAGTTCTTCTAGTAGTTCGTTCCAGCTCTTAAAATAATTTCCTTATAGCATTTTCCTAAATTATCAGTTTTAGAAAATAGGTCTGGTGACTTTTTCTGTGACAGATGAAATATTAGCTCATAAAACCATTCCTCTTCACTTCAAAACGTTTATAGTGATATCACCATCTTCAGTTCCCCTATTTATATATATATATCAACAATGTTCTAAAAGTGCTTTCTGGTCCCACCAAATACAGGTAATATCTCCTGATGTCGTCCTTTGTATTCTAATAGTACCTGCACCCCTTTACTGGCTTCTCCTTGCCAGGTTTTCTGTTTCCAAAGTCGGTAACATTTATATTCTGTTCTATACCCATAATAAACCCTTCACTGTTTTGTCAATAAATTGAAAATCAATAAATAATACTTACATTATTATGATGGTATAGGAATTGTTTACTTCAATATGACCAAATTATTTTCACTAAGGGTCACTGTCAAAACTTGTGACTCACAAAAGATAAAGTTCTCAGCACAAAGGTCAATGGACTGTTCTTACTCACACCAGTCTCCTAACCATGTCATATTCTAATTCACTACATATTTGGACCATGAATTCTTAAAGATTTCTTTCCCCTGGAATTTCTGAATGTCTTTTCTTCCTTGTTGAGAGAGGTAATATTTGCACTCTTCACCACATTCCTAATATCATCTAGCTGTTTCATCATTCTATCCGCTGCCTAGAATTCATTCCTGCTACTGATGACATGCTTGAATCACAAACTTGCCACTCCAATTTGTACTGACTTATGTCTAGACTGCTGGATAGCAGGCAACACTGAGAGCCCTTTCTTCTTTTCCTCTCTTCCTCCCTTCCTTTCTTTTTTCTGTATTACATCTACTTCTTTCTTCATTTGCAACCCTGTGTGCTGGGGTGTATTCTCAAGTAACTTTATTTTTTAAAAGTAGCTTTATTTTTAAAAAGTTCACCAAAAGTAAACCACTGGAGTCTTTACAAGGCCCTTGTACTTGATTGGTGAAACATACAATTTTAGTTGACACTCATTTTCTGTGGATTTCTAGCATTTACTATTGCTGGTGAGAAGCCTGATGCTAGTCAAACTCTCTCCCTCTCCCTCTCTTCTCCCCACAGAGTGGACAATTGATTTACTACAGATGTAACACCGCAGTATTGTGACGGATAGTTTTTTTTTTTTTTCAATGCATGTTTCTGGGTTAATTATATACCCAAACAGAAAAATGTTAATTTTGATTTCAGCCTCACACTCATAACAAAAATAGATTTTGGGGTGAACTACAGATCTAAATGTGAAAGATTTCAAATGATAAAAACATAGAAGGGTATCTTTATGATTTTTGTTTAGGAAAAGATTTCTAAAACTGAACACAAAAAGCATGCAAACCATAAAAACGATTTATTAATTGGGCATAAAAATTATAAACTTTGGATAGTTAAAAGAAACTACTACTAAATAAAAAGGTGAAACACAGAATGGGAAAAGATATTTGCAATACGTATACTCTACCAAAGGGTTATATCCAGAGTACATCAAGAATGTCTCCATCTCTCTAAGCCAAAGACAGAAAACTCCCAGGAAAAATGGGCATGGTTTTAGAACAAGTTCACCCCAAAAAACTATGCAAAAGCCAATATACCATATATAATAGTGTTCAATCTCTTTTGCGATCAAAATATATTTTAAATTAAGACCACTTTGGAGATCTTCTTGGCAATACCCACTAAAGCTGAAAACATGTATATTTTATGATCAGCAATTCCACTCCTTGGCATATTATAAAAACACATACGTCTGTGCACAAAATTCATAGCAGTATTATTCATAACCCCAAATGTTTATCCACAGTAGAGTGGACACTAAATTTGTGATTAATCATTGTGCTATTATGCCCAATGATTAATCACACAAACAGGAGGGTGAATAGAAGTCAGACAAAAAAGAATACAAACTGTATTATTTCACTTATATAAAATTCAAAAGCTGCCCAAAATAATTTATCTGTTATAAATCAGAAGGAAGAGAGGTTGGAAGGGAACATGATGTAGCTTCAGAAGCACTGGTCTTACTCTATTCCTTGACCTAGTGATGGCTACATGGGTGTTTCCCTTGTGATAATTAATGAAGCTGTAAATTCATGATTTGTGGGTATTTGGGCAGTGGGAGGGTGGGACGGAGTTTTGCTCTTGTTGCCCAGGCTGGAGTGTGATGGCACGTTCTCAGCTCATTCCAACCTCTGCCTCCTGGGTCCAAGCAATTCTCCTGCCTTAGTCTCCTGAGTAGCTGGGATTACATGCACCTGCCCCCATGCCTGCTAATTTTTTTTTTTTTTTTTTTGAGACAGAGTTTCACTATTGTTGCCCAGGCTGGAGTGTAATGGCACGATCTCGGCTCACTGCAACCTCTGTCTCTGGGGTTCAAATGATTCTCCCGCCTC